AGCAGGTCACAGATCAGCACACAGAAGCCAGCAGCTTCCCTGTCTACCACAATGACTGCTGAACAGACACCAGGGAACAACCCAATTCATAGCAGTCTCAAAAAAAAAAAAACCCACACCTAGGAGTACCTCTAACCAAGACACCTACAGTGAAAGCTACAGAACTCTGAAGAAAGAGGCGGAGGAGGGCCAGGAAGGTGGGAGACGCCCGCATCCGTGGAGAGGAGAATCAACCTGCTAACACGGCCATGGCACCCAAGCAACACAGACCCAAAGCCGTCCCCATCAAAATACAAATGACCTTCTTCACAAACTAGAAAAAACAGTCCTAAAATTTATTTGGAAGAACAAAAGTCCCAGAATAGCCAAAGCATTCCTGAGACAAAAAAGCAACGCTGGAGGCCTCACCCTGACTACGTGTCGGAGCTACAGCAACCAACCTGCATGGCACTGGCTTCAAACCAGACCCAGACCAACGGCACAGAACGGCCCACATCTACTGACCCTTGACAAAGAGGCCAAGAAGACGCCTTGGAGAAAAGACGGCCTTTTAACAAATGGCGCTGGGGCAGCTGGTTATGCTTGTGTAGGAGAAGGAAACTAGACCCTTATCTCTCACCTGCACAAAAAGTCCACAAAAGGATCAAAGACCTCGGAATTAGACCAGAAACTATGCAATTCCTAGGAGAAAATGGAGATCAACACTGCAGCATGAAGGCCAGGAAAGGACTTTCTCAGAAGGACCCCAGAGCTGAGGAAATAAGGCCCAGAGTGAATAAACGGAAGGGCACTGAATTAAAAAGCCCCGCACAGAAAAGGAGACAATCAACAACGTGAAGAGAGGACCCTCAGAACGGGAGAGAACCACCGTAGCTGCTCATCTAACAGACGATGAATATCCAGAATAGGAAAGAACTCAAACCCTTTACACCAAAAACCAAATAATCCAATTAGTACGTGGGCAATGAACCCAACAGGCCTTTCTCAAAAGAAGAGATACAAATGGCCAACAAATACATGAAAAAATCTTCAAGACCATTAGCAACCAGGGACGTGCAAATCAGAACCACACTGAGATTTCATCTCACACCAGTCAGCATGGCGGCCACCAAAAATACACTAATAAGGGACGCTGGAGAGGATGTGGGACCCTTGTCCATGTTGGTGGGACTGTGAATCAGCACAGCCACTGTGGAACCGGTGCAGAGGGTCCTCAAAAGGCCAGGCCTGGCACCACCACGTGACCCAGCCACCCCCTCCTCAGTAATTACCCTAAGAATTAAAGTCGGCATGCCCCAGTGACACAGGCACACCAGGTTGACAGCAGCACGTTCCCCACAGCCAGGCTGTGCCACCAGCCAGGGGCCCCTCAGTGGACGAATGGATAAAGAAAAAGTGGTTTTTACACAACGGAGTTTCTTTTTTAATTTTTATTATTATTATTATTTTGTAGTTGATGATGGACAGAATGCCTTGATTTTATTTGTTCCTCTTTATGTGGTGCTGAGGATCGAATCCAGCGCCTCACATGAGCTAGGCAATCACTCGTCCCCACAACGGAGTTGTATTCAGCCATAAAGAAGTTTGAAATCATGCCTTTTGCAGAAAGGTGGATGAACTTGAGAGCATTATATTAAGCAAAAGAAGCCAAACTTGGAAGGCCAGGGGTCAATGTCTTCCCTCCTCTGTGGAAGCACGAGAGGAAAAAGGAAAAGAAAGGTTGTGGGGTTATCCCACGAATGCCATGGAAAGGGTCCATGGAAGGAGGGAAATGCCGGGGAGGGACACGGGCCGAAGCGCACTGCTACGAGATGTGCGCCACCAGGAGGGTGGCAGAGAAGTGGGAGAAGGGAAGCGGTCACCAGCACAGTCAGGAAATGCCCTCGGGCGGACGGAGAGGGCCACAGCTGGCCAACACCGCGGGATGCAGCGCGCTGGCTCGGAGCCACGCAAGGTCTCGCATCCACACTGCAACCCAGCACCTCCCGGACCAGCAACAAGACGCTCAGCCAGATCCAGCAGGAAGCCGTGAGCAGGGAGGAGAATCAGGGAAACCGAGAGTGCCTTTGAGTAAAAAGCCAACAAAACCGACAAGCTCTTGGCTACTGTCACTAAGAAAAGTAGAGAAACTTAAAAACCAGAAATGCAAAAGGAAATAGTAGGACCACCGCCGCGGTCGTGGAGAGAACTGTAGGGGACACAACAGAGGAATGACCAGGAAACAGCAGGCGGCCGGCCACAGCTCACCAGGAAGAAACCCAGAACCTCACTAGGCCAAGGTGGTGAGATGGAGAGCCACAGACACCTCCTGCGGAGAGCAGCTCAGGGCCACTCGGCCTCGCTGCAGAATCCCACCGACACACACCAGCACCAATCCTCCCGGAATTCTTCCCAGAAATCTAAGAGGAAGAATCACGTCCAAGCTCATCCTCCGAGGCCAGCATCACCCTGGAATCACAGCCAGATGAGGACGCTACAGGAAAGAAACCCAGATCAGTGTTTCTGATGAATGTTAATAAAAAAAACCCTCAACAGAACACTACAAATCAAGGCCACAGCACGCTGCAATCCTAGGCCACCAGCAGGGCGCTGGCTCGGGAATGCACGGCAGTTCACCAGGGGACCTCCATCCGTGCCGCTGACGGCATCAGCAGAGTGAGGTGCAGCACCACGCGTCCTCTGGAGTGGGGCAGGATGAGCACTAGGCAGATCTGACCCCCTCCCGTGACAGACACAGGAGTGGAAGGGTGGCACCTCAGCCTGGGGAGGCCAGCTGTGAAAATCCCACTCCGTGTGAACTGGACCCAAGCACCAAGTCCAGCACCCAGGCCAGGATGCCCATGGGTGAGTGACCTTGAAGAGGGCGATGCACACACCTGTAATTCCAGCAGCTCAGGAGGCTGAGGCAGGAGGACTGCGAGTTCAAACCAGCCTCAGCAACTCAGTGAGGCACCAAGCAACTCAGCGAGACCCTGTCTCTAATAAAATACAGAATGGGATACCAAAGCCAACCAAGAACGAAACCCATCAAAACCGTTAGCCAGTCTTGGTGAGAGAGGTTCTGGTTCTAAACTATTCATTTACTATTGCTATTAATGTTGACATAATCATAAGATCAGTGACCAATTCTTCACCAACTAAAATGGCACAACTCTCCCTGAAACAAACTTTACTGGGTATCATGAAGCCTTTCGAGAATAACACCGTGATCTAGGGAAACTGTGGCTACCACTGTGAACAGACAGGCTGCAACATTGCCTGGAGTCACCAGTGAGTGGAGACTCGGAGACGCCAGGGCAGACAAGCCCTTATTGCAGTGGGCTCTTGTGCTGTGTCCTCACAGATATGAGAGTCAAGTCAACGAGTGCTGACCCAAAGAGCCTCGCACAGCCGTCCCTCCCGATCACAGCCGAACGTATGGGAAAATACGAAACAGGGCTGGGACGTGGCTCAGGCGTTAGGCGTTCCTGGTTCCATCCCCAGTACCAAAACAGTGAAGAGGGTGACGCTGCCACCAAGCAGGGAAAGGAGCTGGGGAGACACAGGACGAAGGAGACTAGCCGTGAGGCGCTCTGCGCACCACAGGGCCCGAGAGCAGGCTCACGGGAGCAGGACGCGGGGTGGACGGCCCTGTCCCTCAGCAGGACCTCTGCCTCCCCACTAGTGAAAGCAGCGTAAACCAACCCGACTCCCACTTGCAATGTGCAGGAACGGCTCATTGGCAGGTAGGGGCCAAGGGGGCGACCACTGGGTGCAGTCCAACCTCCCGGCCAAGCACTGACTCCAGACCCTGGCAAGTGCCTCAGAGAGGCTGGGCGTCAGGGGGTCCGCGACGGGGTGGGCATCAGGGGATATCCGTGACGGGGTGGGCGTCAGGGGATATCCGTGACGGGGTGGGCGTCAGGGGGACCAAGATGGGCCAGGTGTGAGGACAGTAAGGCCTCTAGGTGGGGCAGTGGAAGGACACCTACATGTCCCACCCACATGTGCCCCTGGAGCACCTGGGCGGTGACTGTGGGCAGTGACTGGCAGGTGAGGAGCAGAGGGCAGCTCAGCTGCTCTACCTCTGTATTCCAGGACACACGGACACACCCACGACCATGTGCAGGCAGGCGGCTGAGGCTACGCTGGGTAAGGCTGAGCCGGGGGTTCAGGTGGGACAGGTCTTTTTTCCCTGACATCAGGTTTTCAGGTTAGGGATCGGGCACTGGTAAAGTCTGCAAATGTTCCACGTCCCATAATCTGACACCCACCACACACTGGCCCAGGCACTGCAGATGACAGACTCCACCCGCCACACTCCGGCAGGACAGACCAAGTGTAGGACTAACCCAGCCCCAGGAACTTGGGGATCCCCACCCCATTCAAGAACATCACAGACGAGGTGTGTGTGGTCCTCCCGTGGGTCAGCGTGAAGACAGGCTGCTCGGCCACCGTGTGGCCTGCCCCTCCCAGGCCAGGTTACAGGCTCATCACCCGGGTGCCCGTGTGCGCCGTAACTGCACGTGGGCTCTGAGAGGTTCGGGACGGGCACTGAGCCTTGGCGCCACAGATGACCGGCACACAGCTAAGAGACCAGGTGGCTCCCGGTCCATCTACTAGGGCGGCCAGCCGAGCGGCCCCTACTCTAGGCTAGGGGCTCTGAGCTCAGAACGCCTGCCTGTGGCGGGTGTGTGGATGTCAGCCACCCTCCTTGTCCAGTGAGGAGTCCAAGCACCAGGGCTGTCCCCTCTGCTGCTGAGGGGTCCCGTGCCTCCCTCGGGAGAGGGCGGTTCAAGATGTCACCTGCAGTGCACTCAACACACCCTCTGCCTGGGCATTCAGGAAGGAGACCTGAGGGGGCAGAGCATCCTGGCAGAGGCAGCCTCTGTCCCTCCAGCTGGCCCTGGAAAGCTGCAGTCCTTCAGAGGGCATGGGAGCACCCACAGGGGGCCCAGGAAGGTGGTGGGCGGGAAGGCCTGGCGTGTGCGGCAGGTGGCCCGCAGCCCCGGCAGCCTTACCGTGCTATCTTGTCGCTGCAGGACATGGTCAGCAGCCTCTCCCCCTGCAGCACCCCATCCCACGTCTGGATGCTGGCGTTCGACCGCACTGGGATCGTCCCCTCGCCAGACTCAATTTTTGTCCGCAGCTGTCCCCTGGCTTTGCGGTTTGGATGTCGATCTGAGGGCTCTAAGAGAGAAAGCAAGTTCCAGGCTCAGGGTGGGGCACCAGGCCGTGGCACATCCAGGCCTGAAGTATCTACACACATCTGAGGGCTCTAAGAGAGAAAGCAAGTTCCAGGCTCAGGGTGGGGCACCAGGCCGTGGCACATCCAGGCCTGAGTATCTACACACATCTGAGGGCTCTAAGAGAGAAAGCAAGTTCCAGGCTCAGGGTGGGGCACCAGGCCGTGGCACATCCAGGCCTGAAGTATCTACACACATCTGAGGGCTCTAAGAGAGAAAGCAAGTTCCAGGCTCAGGGTGGGGCACCAGGCCGTGGCACATCCAGGCCTGAAGTATCTACACACATCTGAGGGCTCTAAGAGAGAAAGCAAGTTCCAGGCTCAGGGTGGGGCACCAGGCCGTGGCACATCCAGGCCTGAGTATCTACACACATCTGAGGGCTCTAAGAGAGAAAGCAAGTTCCAGGCTCAGGGTGGGGCACCAGGCCGTGGCACATCCAGGCCTGAAGTATCTACACACATCTGAGGGCTCTAAGAGAGAAAGCAAGTTCCAGGCTCAGGGTGGGGCACCAGGCCGTGGCACATCCAGGCCTGAAGTATCTACACACATCTGAGGGCTCTAAGAGAGAAAGCAAGTTCCAGGCTCAGGGTGGGGCACCAGGCCTGAGTATCTACACACATCTGAGGGCTCTAAGAGAGAAAGCAAGTTCCAGGCTCAGGGTGGGGCACCAGGCCGTGGCACATCCAGGCCTGAAGTATCTACACACATCTGAGGGCTCTAAGAGAGAAAGCAAGTTCCAGGCTCAGGGTGGGGCACCAGGCCGTGGCACATCCAGGCCTGAAGTATCTACACACATCTGAGGGCTCTAAGAGAGAAAGCAAGTTCCAGGCTCAGGGTGGGGCACCAGGCCTGAGTATCTACACACATCTGAGGGCTCTAAGAGAGAAAGCAAGTTCCAGGCTCAGGGTGGGGCACCAGGCCGTGGCACATCCAGGCCTGAAGTATCTACACACATCTGAGGGCTCTAAGAGAGAAAGCAAGTTCCAGGCTCAGGGTGGGGCACCAGGCCGTGGCACATCCAGGCCTGAAGTATCTACACACATCTGAGGGCTCTAAGAGAGAAAGCAAGTTCCAGGCTCAGGGTGGGGCACCAGGCCTGAAGTATCTACACACATCTGAGGGCTCTAAGAGAGAAAGCAAGTTCCAGGCTCAGGGTGGGGCACCAGGCCGTGGCACATCCAGGCCTGAGTATCTACACACATCTGAGGGCTCTAAGAGAGAAAGCAAGTTCCAGGCTCAGGGTGGGGCACCAGGCCGTGGCACATCCAGGCCTGAAGTATCTACACACATCTGAGGGCTCTAAGAGAGAAAGCAAGTTCCAGGCTCAGGGTGGGGCACCAGGCCGTGGCACATCCAGGCCTGAAGTATCTACACACATCTGAGGGCTCTAAGAGAGAAAGCAAGTTCCAGGCTCAGGGTGGGGCACCAGGCCGTGGCACATCCAGGCCTGAAGTATCTACACACATCTGAGGGCTCTAAGAGAGAAAGCAAGTTCCAGGCTCAGGGTGGGGCACCAGGCCTGAAGTATCTACACACATCTGAGGGCTCTAAGAGAGAAAGCAAGTTCCAGGCTCAGGGTGGGGCACCAGGCCTGAAGTATCTACACACATCTGAGGGCTCTAAGAGAGAAAGCAAGTTCCAGGCTCAGGGTGGGGCACCAGGCCTGAAGTATCTACACACATCTGAGGGCTCTAAGAGAGAAAGCAAGTTCCAGGCTCAGGGGGGGGCACCAGGCCGTGGCACATCCAGGCCTGAGTATCTACACACATCTGAGGGCTCTAAGAGAGAAAGCAAGTTCCAGGCTCAGGGTGGGGCACCAGGCCGTGGCACATCCAGGCCTGAAGTATCTACACACATCTGAGGGCTCTAAGAGAGAAAGCAAGTTCCAGGCTCAGGGTGGGGCACCAGGCCTGAAGTATCTACACACATCTGAGGGCTCTAAGAGAGAAAGCAAGTTCCAGGCTCAGGGTGGGGCACCAGGCCTGAAGTATCTACACACATCTGAGGGCTCTAAGAGAGAAAGCAAGTTCCAGGCTCAGGGTGGGGCACCAGGCCTGAAGTATCTACACACATCTGAGGGCTCTAAGAGAGAAAGCAAGTTCCAGGCTCAGGGTGGGGCACCAGGCCGTGGCACATCCAGGCCTGAAGTATCTACACACATCTGAGGGCTCTAAGAGAGAAAGCAAGTTCCAGGCTCAGGGTGGGGCACCAGGCCGTGGCACATCCAGGCCTGAAGTATCTACACACATCTGAGGGCTCTAAGAGAGAAAGCAAGTTCCAGGCTCAGGGTGGGGCACCAGGCCGTGGCACATCCAGGCCTGAAGTATCTACACACATCTGAGGGTTCTAAGAGAGAAAGCAAGTTCCAGGCTCAGGGTGGGGCACCAGGCCGTGGCACATCCAGGCCTGAAGTATCTACACACATCTGAGGGCTCTAAGAGAGAAAGCAAGTTCCAGGCTCAGGGTGGGGCACCAGGCCGTGGCACATCCAGGCCTGAGTATCTACACACATCTGAGGGCTCTAAGAGAGAAAGCAAGTTCCAGGCTCAGGGTGGGGCACCAGGCCTGAAGTATCTACACACATCTGAGGGCTCTAAGAGAGAAAGCAAGTTCCAGGCTCAGGGTGGGGCACCAGGCCTGAAGTATCTACACACATCTGAGGGCTCTAAGAGAGAAAGCAAGTTCCAGGCTCAGGGTGGGGCACCAGGCCTGAATTATCTACACACATCTGAGGGCTCTAAGAGAGAAAGCAAGTTCCAGGCTCAGGGTGGGGCACCAGGCCTGAAGTATCTACACACATCTGAGGGCTCTAAGAGAGAAAGCAAGTTCCAGGCTCAGGGTGGGGCACCAGGCCGTGGCACATCCAGGCCTGAAGTATCTACACACATCTGAGGGCTCTAAGAGAGAAAGCAAGTTCCAGGCTCAGGGTGGGGCACCAGGCCGTGGCACATCCAGGCCTGAAGTATCTACACACATCTGAGGGCTCTAAGAGAGAAAGCAAGTTCCAGGCTCAGGGTGGGGCACCAGGCCGTGGCACATCCAGGCCTGAGTATCTACACACATCTGAGGGCTCTAAGAGAGAAAGCAAGTTCCAGGCTCAGGGTGGGGCACCAGGCCGTGGCACATCCAGGCCTGAAGTATCTACACACATCTGAGGGCTCTAAGAGAGAAAGCAAGTTCCAGGCTCAGGGTGGGGCACCAGGCCGTGGCACATCCAGGCCTGAAGTATCTACACACATCTGAGGGCTCTAAGAGAGAAAGCAAGTTCCAGGCTCAGGGTGGGGCACCAGGCCGTGGCACATCCAGGCCTGAAGTATCTACACACATCTGAGGGCTCTAAGAGAGAAAGCAAGTTCCAGGCTCAGGGTGGGGCACCAGGCCTGAAGTATCTACACACATCTGAGGGCTCTAAGAGAGAAAGCAAGTTCCAGGCTCAGGGTGGGGCACCAGGCCTGAAGTATCTACACACATCTGAGGGCTCTAAGAGAGAAAGCAAGTTCCAGGCTCAGGGTGGGGCACCAGGCCTGAAGTATCTACACACATCTGAGGGCTCTAAGAGAGAAAGCAAGTTCCAGGCTCAGGGTGGGGCACCAGGCCGTGGCACATCCAGGCCTGAGTATCTACACACATCTGAGGGCTCTAAGAGAGAAAGCAAGTTCCAGGCTCAGGGTGGGGCACCAGGCCGTGGCACATCCAGGCCTGAAGTATCTACACACATCTGAGGGCTCTAAGAGAGAAAGCAAGTTCCAGGCTCAGGGTGGGGCACCAGGCCTGAAGTATCTACACACATCTGAGGGCTCTAAGAGAGAAAGCAAGTTCCAGGCTCAGGGTGGGGCACCAGGCCTGAAGTATCTACACACATCTGAGGGCTCTAAGAGAGAAAGCAAGTTCCAGGCTCAGGGTGGGGCACCAGGCCTGAAGTATCTACACACATCTGAGGGCTCTAAGAGAGAAAGCAAGTTCCAGGCTCAGGGTGGGGCACCAGGCCGTGGCACATCCAGGCCTGAAGTATCTACACACATCTGAGGGCTCTAAGAGAGAAAGCAAGTTCCAGGCTCAGGGTGGGGCACCAGGCCGTGGCACATCCAGGCCTGAAGTATCTACACACATCTGAGGGCTCTAAGAGAGAAAGCAAGTTCCAGGCTCAGGGTGGGGCACCAGGCCGTGGCACATCCAGGCCTGAAGTATCTACACACATCTGAGGGCTCTAAGAGAGAAAGCAAGTTCCAGGCTCAGGGTGGGGCACCAGGCCGTGGCACATCCAGGCCTGAAGTATCTACACACATCTGAGGGCTCTAAGAGAGAAAGCAAGTTCCAGGCTCAGGGTGGGGCACCAGGCCGTGGCACATCCAGGCCTGAGTATCTACACACATCTGAGGGCTCTAAGAGAGAAAGCAAGTTCCAGGCTCAGGGTGGGGCACCAGGCCTGAAGTATCTACACACATCTGAGGGCTCTAAGAGAGAAAGCAGGTTCCAGGCTCAGGGTGGGGCACCAGGCCTGAAGTATCTACACACATCTGAGGGCTCTAAGAGAGAAAGCAAGTTCCAGGCTCAGGGTGGGGCACCAGGCCTGAAGTATCTACACACATCTGAGGGCTCTAAGAGAGAAAGCAAGTTCCAGGCTCAGGGTGGGGCACCAGGCCTGAAGTATCTACACACATCTGAGGGCTCTAAGAGAGAAAGCAAGTTCCAGGCTCAGGGTGGGGCACCAGGCCGTGGCACATCCAGGCCTGAAGTATCTACACACATCTGAGGGCTCTAAGAGAGAAAGCAAGTTCCAGGCTCAGGGTGGGGCACCAGGCCGTGGCACATCCAGGCCTGAAGTATCTACACACATCTGAGGGCTCTAAGAGAGAAAGCAAGTTCCAGGCTCAGGGTGGGGCACCAGGCCGTGGCACATCCAGGCCTGAAGTATCTACACACATCTGAGGGCTCTAAGAGAGA